TTTCAATCATTATTAATAGGGTCCAATTGGACAAGTTCAATATTTCTTCCTCGCATGTTTCATTCCATTTTAAGAATAAGATTGATTTGCTTTCTTCATGATTTAAACTTAGATTGGTCGGCTTCCCATGGAGTGGGGAAAATGTATTATTCCTCTAGTCAATTCTACTAAAGTTCAAGTTAAGGGTAGTGTGTAGTTGCATCAGAAAACCTTCATATGATGCAAGAAATGATGTTGTATGTAAGGTAAGGTCTCCTGGTTACGTATATGTTCCATGGAAAACTTGATTCTTTTGCATTCATATTACGTAATATTAATGGTTATCTGGTTGGCAGTTTTTATATTAACAGTTCTATTTTCACGGAAGGTGATAAATCTTCTTGGAGGCTATATTCTTCATATATTTATTCTACAGTTCTCCCTCTCCTTTCACTCTTTAAATATCTGAGAATCAAACCTTATCAGAAGGTACATTCTGCATATGTTTCTCAATGCTATAAACAACTTTAGTTTATCAGAGCTTGTCATGATCTCTGAGCTACATTAGAATGGCCAGTTTGTAATTGAGATTCATCTAGTGTTTTTTTCCATGCATGCAGAATTCACCCCAGAAGATCTAAATTTAAGGAAAATTTAACTGGATCTAGAAGTATGTATAGTGGTTGGCTTGTTAACTTTCTTTCACATGATTTTCATGACGTTAACTATTCAAGTAGGAAAGACATGCACCTTCGTAATCATATGTAGTAGGAAATATTCCTTTTTTTCCTTTCCATTATTAAGTGAAGCTTTTTCGATGCTCTACCACATTAATCATATGGTTCCTCTATTGATATCATATTGCTTGCATTTTCCTTGTACGTTCTCCTGTCATTAACTCATTGTGTTAAGATAAAATCATCATGGAGATAACAGTCATCTAGAAAATTATGCATTAATAGAATGCCTTGTCCTTAAAATGATCATCTTCACAGATTAGGTGGCTTGCAAAAAAAAAATTGTGCCATCAAGATGGATTTGTACTTTTAAATGCAATGAATAATGAGATTTCGGCGCTAACATTCTCAGATTTTGTCTGAATATATTCAAGCTATTTTGCTGGCCTGTTTGCATTTTTACACAATTAATAGTGACGCTGAGTTGTTATGCACAAGTACTTTTCCATGTACACCTGATTTGGATACACGTCCTATGAAAAATACTTACCTGTTTATCAAAACAGAATGATGGAGATGAAGCTGCAGGAATGTTGCCCATAGTGAAAAGAAAAAAGGGTTGCCAACAGTGCCCCGAACAAAACAAAGATGAACAAGTTCTTTCAGAGTTATCCTTGAATAAGATTGTTGGTGCTGCAGATACATACAACTTGGAGGTAGAATGCCTCACAGACTTCTCATTTTTTGCTGACTTAGGGGAAGTTACAGGCTTGGAAATCAAATTTCTATCGTATGATCATTTTAGGAGATGGAACCCCCAAGTAAACTCATGTGCGACTTAAGGCCATACCAGAAGCAAGCTCTCTACTGTATGTCAGAATCAGAGAAGGGAATTGATGTTGAGAAAGCTACAGTAACTCTTCATCCTTGCTGGGCCGCATATCGAATATGTGATGAGTATGTCTTTGGAAATAGAAAAAAGCGCAACAAAGTATGGCTTCAACGTTGCATATTATCTTATTAAAGCACTAGATGTGAGATAACATAACATGGAACCTGATGTATTATCTGCAGGAGGGCTTCTTCAATCTATGTTAACATCTTCTCTGGGGAAGCAACCACACATTTTCCGACAGCAACACAGATGGCAAGAGGGACAGTGAGTTTCTTATCCAATTGATTCCAATTTAATATTTATTTGCATTTTTATTGGAATTTTATATCTTCATCTTCTTCCCAAGGGGAATGAAGTAGTGGATCTAAATATCTTCTGACGTTAAGAATTATATTTACAGATTCTAGCAGATGCAATGGGTCTTGGAAAAACTGTGATGACAATTGCATTAGTACTTGCAAGAACCAGGCAAGGTTGCCCTGATAGCCAAAAAAAATGTCAGCAAAACAGCACATGATACTGGAGACATATGTGCGAAGAAAGACTCTTTTTCAAACCAAAGGGCAGCACTCTTATCATTTGTCCCATGGCTTTGTTGAGCCAATGGAAGGTGAATTTTTCTCTCCCATATTCAATGGCAATGGAGGTCCATGACTCTGTCCTTATTTTCAGAACCACCATGTAGTGAATGTTTCAATATATTATACTGCTTATGGGAGAAATGAAGAGTTAATGCTTGTAATATTCTGATAAGTAAATGATAGTGTGGAAGATTAATATCTTATAAGTTCCACTGAAACCTTCAGGATGAGCTTGAAACCCATTCTAGTCCAGGAAGTATTTCCATTTTTGTTCACTATGGAGGAGACAGAACAAATGAGCCCAGGGTGATTGCAGGATATGACGTGGTCTTGACAACGTATGGGGTCTTAACTGCAGCTTATAAGAGTGTAAGTTGTTATTTTTGGTAACTGATTGCTGTCATTTGTTTAACGGTGGAATCAGTTTGACCCCATATGCACTTGTGGAAGTCTTTGTGTGCTTGCTTACTTGAAAGACATTGTGGATTCTGATACAGGATTCAGAGAGTAGCATTTACCATAGGGTCAATTGGTACAGAGTGGTGTTAGATGAAGCTCATACCATTAAGTCCTGGAAGACTTTAGTTGCTCAAGCGGCCTTTAAGTTGTCCTCACATTGCAGATGGTGCCTCACAGGAACCCATATCCAGGTGTGCTTTGTGCATTATTAATTTTCTTTGTCAGAGTCTTCCATCCACCAAAGAGAAGAAAACCCTTGAAGTATAAATTAAGCAATCATGTCCTACTCTATACTATGCTTTTTGAGCTTTATAGTATTTTTAATGTACTTTAAGAATCAGTTTATCATTACATGCTGCAGAATAATTTGGAAGACCTTTACAGCCTATTATGCTTCTTGCGTGTCGAGCCATGGTGCAACTGGTCATGGTAAGTCAGCACCTTTAGAACTCTCGTCACGTTCATAATGATGATTTTGCTCATCTAATCGCCTCATACAAACACCTGGTATTTATCAATTGTTAGTTGCTCATGTCAGTCGTGGCTAGTCTTCAACTTTCCGTGATGTAATTTCACATTTATATAGGTGGAACAAGTTGGTCCATAAGCCATACGAGAATGGTGATCCGAGAGGGCTGAAACTGATAAAATCTATCTTACGGCCATTGATGTTGAGAAGAACAAAAGACACGAAAGACAAAGAATGAAGATGATTATTTCAGTTCCTTTGGTTTTTGCTTTTCTCCTTTTGCCTAAGCAAACAAACCATAAAATGTTCTTGATGTTTGGTGCATGCGGTTTTAGACCCATTCTCGTTCTTCCTCCAACTGATGTTCAAATCGTTGAATGTGAACAATCAGAAGCAGAATATGATTTTTATGAAGCTCTTTTCAAGAAATCCAAAGTAAGTTGCTTTGTCTTCTAAATAAGTTCGAAAATCCAAATACTATTGATGATGCTTGCTTTCGATATGCTTTTGTATAGTTTTTTTCTCCTTTTTTCTGGTTTGTTGGGCCTAGAGGGTTGGAAGTAGCGTAGAGCAACTTGGTCAAGTAGCTGTTAAGCTACTGAGCCACTAATGGCTCGGGCTATGCTGTTGTCCAGTTGACATAGAGTAGGACTTCTGTATCTGCTGTGAAACTCACGTGTCCTTCACAATAAAACAGGTCAAGTTTGACGAGTTTGTGGCTCAAGGCAAGGTTCTTCACAACTATGCTAACATCCTTGAGCTTCTCCTTCGGCTGAGGCAGTGTTGCAACCACCCTTTTCTTGTTATGTTATGAGGTGGGGATGGAGTTGATAATTAATGTCATTTAAAACTTTTATTAACAGTTTCATGGTATTGCCAGCGGCTGTTTGTAATTTGTTTGAAACATGCAGTCGTGCTGATTCACAACAGTATGCAGACTTGGATAAGTTGGCAAGGAGGTTTCTTGAAAATGAAACTGATCCTGACCATCAAAATCTCAAAGCAGCATCCCGAACATATGTTGAAGAGGTTGTTGAGGACATACGGAAGGGTGGAAACGCAGAGTGCCCTATATGCCTGGAGTCTGCAGATGATCCAGTGCTGACTCCCTGTGCTCATAGGATGTGCAGGGAATGTCTGCTGTCCAGTTGGCGGACGCCAACGGCTGGGTTATGCCCCATTTGTCGGACAGTGTTAAAGAAAACAGAACTCATTATATGCCCAACCGAAAACAAATTCAGGGTTGATGTTGAGAAGAACTGGAAGGAGTCCTCAAAGTTCTCAAAATTGTGGGAGTGCTTGGAAAGGATTCACGAGTCAGGAAGTGGGGAAAAGAGCATTGTTTTCAGTCAGTGGACCTCATTTTTTGATCTTTTAGAGATCCCATTAAAGAGGAGAAGAATTGGGTTCTTAAGGTTTGATGGAAGCGTGGTGCAGAAACAGAGGGAGAATATTTTGAAGGAGTTCAATGAGACCAAAGAGAAGACAGTAAGCATTTACAAGAGCTTTCTAACTTTTCAATTGTAAGATGAAACATTAGTTGCGATAATGGGTGATTTCATATGACATATTTCAGGTATTGTTGATGTCCCTAAAGGCTGGTGGAGTAGGTCTGAATTTAACCGCAGCGTCCATCGTGTATCTAATGGTAATGTTGAGTATTTCTGATTTGAAGGTTAGATTAGAAAGAAGGAGCGTTTTTTAAAGAAAATGTTGTTTGGTAATTAGGATCCATGGTGGAACCCAGCAGTTGAAGAGCAAGCAATCATGCGAATTCACCAAATAGGGCAAAAGTGAAAAGTTTGTGTGAGGAGATTCATTGTTCAGGTGGGTTGATTTTGTTTTTGTAGCTTGTGGTTGAAGTTTAGTGTTCATGATGAACTGTGGGTGTGATGCAGGGGACTATCGAGGAAAGGATGCAACAAGTTCAGGCAAGGAAGCAGCGGATGATTGCGGGTGCTCTGACCGACGAAGAGGTCCGATCAGCAAGAATTGAAGAACTGAAGATGCTGTTTAGATAATTTCTCATTCAAGGATAATAGTTTTTTGTATTTTACACAAATGGGTAAATTATATATATGAATATATATTGTTATATAGGATAGAGAGGCCAGCAGGTGGCCTGCTAATTGCTTCATGTAGAGTTGTTATGAAGCCTAAGTTTGTAAATCTGGCATTTAGGCAATGACCCAATGGAAGCTTCTTCTTCTCTTGTCCCTATTAACAATCTTCATCAAACTCACTCTTATCTTTTTTGACTAAAAAATTCAATTGAAAAGTGTAGAGATTCCGTGACTGTGCCAAAACTTGGTGTTGGCGTTGGCGTTGGGGTTCAATAATATAAAACGACAATTTCAGCTCATCAAATATATATATATTATATATAAGACGACGATTTGGATAAAAATGAATGGGAACCAAACACGTGTCGGAGATCAGACGTTCCAGGTCAAGGTCTAGAATAAGCCACGTAAGCGGAGGGAGAGCCGTTGGATTTGTGTTGCTTGTTTAGATGTTGTTGGGTCAAAATCCGTGTGAAGTGGGGTCGGATGAAAAGTAAAATTAACTAAAATAATAATCCAACTCCAGTCTTTGTATTTGACCATCAGCTCTCACTCGAACAAAAAAGTCGGCTCCGCCCCCCTTGAAAAATTTTAATTTCATTTCCAATTACCTTGTCACGATTCAATCTTCTATTCCTTTTGCATCTAACAGAAATTTATAATAAATATTTGTTTATATACACTTAATCGCTTTTCCCCCACCAATTTTATGAATATATTTATATAAAATTAAATGCAACATAATTTGCATAAAATATTAAAATAACTAAGACATTATTTTGGAAGAAATCAATAGTTAATTGACTGAAACAGATTACCTTATTTAGATAAGATGGTAATGGAATGAAATGATTAGAGGAGGTAGAAAAGAGAGTAATGATTAATGTGTAAAAGACAATACTAAAAACTGACGAGTATTATAATCCATTAACCAAATTATATTTCATTGTTCTTTCTTTTTTTGAAAATTTTAAAACTTTTTGGACATTTGAGGAGAGAATGTTACAATTTATTCACTCCCATTTTCATTTTATTCCATTAATAAATAGTCTCGAGAATCATTGACCACTTAAAGTTTTCATTCTCTCTCTCTCTCTCTCTCTCTCTATGTGAAACTTACCATAAGTGCCAACATTTAATATAATTCCAAAATCAATAATTCTAATGTGAAATTAAATCTCAAGTAATGTGAGAAAATTATTTATAGACATCATATTGTTGGTAAGTCGATTGAATTTCCACCATTTGCTTCTTGTTTTGATTTTAATTTTTTTTGTTTTTTGCTCTTACCCATGTTACAAGTTATTTTTATTGTTATAAACCAACAATGACAATTTTAATTTAGTGCAACATTTAATATAATAATGCTTTTTCTTTTTAGAAAAATAATAACATTAAAATTAAGCATAATGAGAAACATCAAGCTCAAGAAAAAAGAGCTAACAAAGATGTCTATTCTTTGAAAAACAAGACGATATCAAAGCGAGAGTTTGACTCCTTAACTAAAACATATTTAACCTAATTATAATTTTCAGGAAACTAAATAGGAACAAAATTTACAAAAAAAAAAAATTAAGTAATAACGTCACTTATCAATAAACCAAACTTTATGATATTTGGGTCTCGAGCAAACAATAAAGAGATAACTGATTGAGAATCCTCTTCTACTATGATATGTACAATACTCTTTTTTTTTTTTGCAATTCCAAACCAAATAAAAGTGTCATAATCTTAACCATGTCAATAGTTATATCCCATAGAACTCTTTTTTAGGTTGTAAATATCATGTTCTCATTTCAATCACAACAAATTGTCTCTAAACCAATTTGTTCATTAACTGCAAGTGATGTATCTTTATTTAATTCATAAATTCCCACTCGTGGAGGAGACCACCCCACGAC